AAACAATGATAGCAGATCTTGACAAGAAATAAGGAAAACCAAAGTGTAATATGGAAAAGGACTGACCAAGGGACACAAGTACGTTGTTGTCAAGAACAGGGGTTTCTCAATGAGCTGCAGACAAGCCAAATTTTCCTGGCTTTTGTAGCAAGTTGTTTATAATAAATTGTTGTAAGATTGTATGATTTTTAAAGAAATAAAATTAATCTCTTAAACCGGTGACAAGTTGAAGGGGAGATACAACTAGCCGCAGGTACAACTAGACGTAGGTACAAGTAGGCGTAGGTACAACTAGTCGTAGGTACAAGTAGTCGTAGGTACAAGTAGTCGTAGGTACAAGTAGTCGTAGGTACAAGTAGTCGTAGGTACAAGTAGTCGTAGGTACAAGTAGACGCAGACGTATGAGGTACAAGTAGACGGTGACGTTCCCGACTAGTTGTACCTGTAGATTTTTAAGAGGTACAACTAGACGTAGAGACAACTAGACGTAGAGACAACTAGACGTCCACACCATCGTCAAGTTGTCTCTACAGCTTTGGACGGGGTACAACTAGACGCCTGTCACCAAAATGCAGCAGGTACAACTAGACGCCGGGACAAGTAGACATCGCCCCGTTACAAAAGCATATACATTGAGAATACATTGGGTCTGTTGCAGTCCTATTAGTTATCAATAAGATAATATTCATATGACGTCGACACACCAAGGTGCCGGTGCGTATTTTTAAGCCGAAGATGGATGATGAGCGTTCAATGAATGAGAAGGCAGTTATGTTACTGACTTAGATCAGCTGGTTTTGCCAGGACCATTTATTTCAAGCACAATGGTCAAGGGCAGCAGCTGCATGATGAGACAACCGCAGATTGCCTTTCTCTGTGATACATCCAGAGAGCACATACTGTACAACGATACAACCAAACAGCTGATTACACCATGTATACTCATGCACTCATGCATACTGCGACGTGCAAAATGAATGTTTGGTTGTGAGGACTGATTCAGACCAAACAAAGTAGGTAATGTATTCTTGGACTACAGTGCGAAGATTAATTGTGCACTTTGCTATGGATTTACAATCAATTTTAACCAAATAAACTAATTTTATGAAAAAAATTGTAATACAAAGAGTGGAGCACAAATCTTAAAATCTACCGAGACAAATTTACTCAACATCATCAAATAAAAACATGTTTCAGATTTCGCGATCGGAAGAATTCTACCTACTTGTTCCATTTCAAGTCAATGATTTTACATCAACGTTATGTTTGCCTGAGTCAACTTCCCTTTAATTACACCAACTCATTCCATTTTTAGCCATTACTTTTTGCAGTTAAATTTATACTCGACTTTTTGCTTTACTATACGTTTCGAACAAATGTTTTGATTTGTGAAAGAACTAGTTGAGAAATGTTAAAACATAACAAAAGGGTAGTTTTTACAGTTGACTCCCGATAATCCGACACACACAGTACCGGGAGAGGTCGGATAACCTAAAACCTCGGAACACCAAAGAAAATATAAAATTTAACCCGTAAACTATAAAATCAACTTTTACCGTCGAGAGATATTCATTAATATGGTGATTAACAAAATTTCGCCAACAACGACCCTCCAAAACATCTGTTTCGCCACTTATAAATATTTAACATTATGGAAATGTGCTAAAAGCGCGTCCAATATGCTTTTCTCCACAATTCGTACGCGTTGGTACTGAAATTAGTAGAAAATAAAATTGTAGGTTAATTGCTTTGACTATCCAATAGTCAATGGTTATACTTTAATAAATCTAGAGAACCGTCAAAGATTTGACGTATTTCCTCCCATCTTTAGCTTTGTTATCCTTATCATCTGAATGAATTTTAGGATGTTTCCGTACCGTGCATAAAGAGTGCGTTTTTGTGGTCAGTATTTTTTTATATATCTAAAATGATAATATCGATTATTACACTAGCTTTAGCCCTGAAATTTCAACCACAGAGTCAAGTTTCCTTTAAAAGTATGAATACCTTTAGTGTTTAAATCAGCTCATTTACGTAACCAAACAAGGGCCCCTCATCAAAAAAAATTCAGAATTAATTTATAAACACGATTGGCTAACATATAGGTTTTGTACAAATTAATTAATTTTGGATGAATACTTTCACATCTTTTTCAAAGTTATGGCATAAATTTAAACATACATAATACATACATATGCACCATGTGAGTACATTCAATACCATACGGTTATAGCCTCAACTTAAGCCTATATTGAATCTGTAAGACTGTAGTAAAAAAATGCTTTGAAAATCAATGATATTTCAGAAGGTAGTGCTATTCTAGACCATAGCTTTAAACTACTGCGACGAAAGAATAACTACCCCCGCCGCAGCAAACGTGCAGACTAAGCAAATATCCATTAGGTTTTATATTTATTTCAAAAATTGTTCAGTAAGTTGAAACGTCAAGAGTAGTATACATTTTTCTTTGCAAAAGCCAAATGCAGCCGGCGCGGCACAGTACAGAACAATTAATCACACCATCTGTTATATATTTGCACAGCTGTCACATACATGAGTGATGCCCAATAAATCCTAGAACCACAATCAGGCAACTGTTCATTTTGTTGAATACTCTGGATTTGTATATAAATCTCTCTAATTGTTTAAGGGCCTTTGGTGAATGTGAAGCCACAGAATAAAAAGTTGCAACTCTTCATCTGTGCAAAAGTTGCTCATCTGTGGTGAAACTAGGCAAGTATTGATTTTTGACGTTTTTTGAGACGCATTTTTAAAGTGGCCTTTAAAACTCATGCCCCTGACATTAGAGTATAATATAGGCCTACACCAATTTTAGTAAAACATTTATATCTTAATCATTATTTGAAAAATCTCCAGATTATTACAATTAATATGGATGATGATATTTGGACGCATCCGCATCGGTAGTTTATTGCCAGGAATGCGGCGAACCTTGATCTTTGGTACTAAAACCACCCCCTACAACCGTAGTTAAATAAAATATCTACTATAGTTAAAATCTAAGAAACCACAACAGAATCGTTACATTACGAACGTTCTAGTATATAGCACGAATACTAGAATCAGAACGTCACCGCGGTTCATAAAGTCAGAATCGTTTATGCTTCGAAACTGGACCCATACCTATGTTATTAATCACTGGGATTTCTATAAACGACCCAGACTTTAGTCAGTAACAAATCGAGTCATCTAATTCATTACAACCTCATATTCAACCAAAAATACGCATCCTATTAATTGTGTCAGTATGGTAGAAAGAAATCTAGTCAACGTGATACAAAGAACGAAGTGCGTCGTTCAAAATGTTTGCTCACGACTCGACATTCTCAATTGAATTAGAACGGTGTTTTAATGCGTTTCGTTGTTTTGCGACCATACCAGGGACAAAGTCTCCGCGACGGCACAAGAAAGTTTTCGTTTTGCTCATCGACGTGGACGACTGTTGTGCTTCGTTAACTACGGTAACCTGATGAAGTGCATCGAAATGCAACTGACATGGTCGGCATAGTCCGTCTATGGCTAGTTGAGTTATTATACGTTCATGGCTGGTTCTTTTGTATAATTGACTGAATAGTATACTTTTCGCCCTATTGGAAATTTAAGGGTTGTTATGATGGCCTTAACTGTCACTAAACGCCCCTCTATTAATTTCAAAGAACCCCTTTAGGTACCGGTAGGTACCCTCTGTCTCCATCGTAGTTTTTATTTTACTCTCTTGTAATGAAACTAAAAAAGAACAAAAGTAGCAAAAGCAGTAGTTTACTCCAGATCGTTCTAGAAGGTCTCAATAAACTTAAAAACTACAATAAGAAATTATGACACACTCTGAAATGGTTTATTGATTCAAAATACGAATAAAACCTGCACATATAGGACCGATAACCTTACTTTTGCTACAACCACAGAAAACATACTTGGAATGTTTTCTGTGCTACAACCCACGAGCAATTCGGTCCAGTAGTATGGCCAGGCTAGTTGTTACAAGTTTTACAAAAGCTTATTTTTAAGTATTATTAGATTCATTTTTTAGAAGATCAAATAAAGGAATAATAAACTTTCCAGGTACATGGGAAAATATAACAGTTAATTAACATTCATTTAACACAACCTGTATGTAAATCGGTCCCAATAGAACTCCAGATCTCACTCTTAATAGACTTAAATTTTACGCCATGTTAAATTGTCAATAGAGATTTTTATTTCCGTTTTATAACATTTGGTCCAGTAGGCTAATATCTGAAGTAGAAGAAAAATGGGTAAATATACAGACAATTGCCTTTCATTTGGTACCAACCGCATGTAAATCGGTGGCGTGTCTGTTGCAAGCTTAAAAATTTACCCCATGTTAAATCTCTATAAGAAAAGTTTATTTTTATTTAGGTTCAGTTCCTAGAGGTCGCCCCGTTGTCGAAAACTTGGCCAAAAATATGTAATGTACGGACTTCTATTTTCACCCCACACTGTAAAATAACATGTATTTGGAATTTGTTTGGATTTTCTGTTTATATTTTGTCACCAGTATGGCAAACCATAAAGGCCCATACCGGTATTCATTATTTAATTTTCAAATTAATTTTTCGTGCTTATTTTTGAGCCTATTTTAACGTGTAAAGGGATTCTGCACATATACAGAAAAATATATTTAATTTGGTACCAATCGCGTGCAATTTGGTCCAGTAGTATAGTCAGATGATAGGTTTTGCAAAAGTTTTTTAGTATATAAGATTGATCTTTATTCTATGGATTCCAGGAAAAATTCAATGCTCGAACCTAACTACGAAAATAAACTAAAATTATACAATGCTAAAAAACTGTCAGAAAGATCTTGACCGCACCAGTTGGAATTTTTCAGTAAATAAATACAGATGAATGAATTCGGTTTAGAATGACAACAAAATCTAGGTTCAACCACCGAGATGGCATGCGTCAGGAATTCCCTGACCTATCTAACAAAAGCAATCAGCTGGTAAAACACTTACATTTATCCAGGGCTCCCTAGTGATGTAATACACAATTCACAACACAAAACTTCCCACACAATACACAAACACTACACCAAACACAACGTTATGTTCGCGACGCCAACCGCCAACCAAACTAACTGTCGATGTTTTTCAAACCGCGACAGACGACAGATTATCTCGTCTGCTGCGGCTGGTAGTGTCGTTTGACGGCGGCAGTAGTGCCACCGTAGACGAAGGAAATATCCCTTGTGTATATAATGGGGAAATTCAGCATTCGACTATGATTATACTATACTATTACTCACTGTATCTACAGCGTAGTATGTTTTCTGTGATCTACAGAGTCATAGTGAAAAAAGTGGGCCTACAGCATTCAGTACTGACGTTTGTTAAAATGACCACAAATTATATAGTACCGTACTTGCAGTCCAATTATGTACTGTATTTTAAATCGATTTAAAAAGTACTGCAAATTTAGACAAAATGATGTATGTAGCCATCGATTAAACATGCAAGATACTCCCGCTCACAACAAGTCATTCCATTAGGTTAACTTGGTAAAAATGTTAGTGTATTCGACAGAAATTAGTAATTTAGATCAGCACAATCTTAGGTGGCTCACATCAACTACAACAATTTTTATTACAAACTGAAAAAACAAATTTACACTGGATATAATGTCTTGTTGTATCAATAACAGCCAATGATATTGTGTTGTAAAAAATTAAGAAAGAATATTATTACATATTGAAATCAGAACTCTAGAGATTAAAGGTACTGTACCAACCATCAACAACCCCATATGTTGCACAGAACTAATAAAAACTTAAAATTTGCATATGTTTTAGAGTTTTTCGTTTATTTGGGTAACAGACAACTTGTCTTTATAAATTTAAATACTTTTATCATTGACATGTATATATAAATAATTGGCGTTATATTTTCTGTAACACTATGCAGTAGTTTACTTACTTACTTACTGCTGGGGCGCTACAAATCGCAGTCGATTCTTCGCCTCGTAGATCAGCCTCTTCCACGCTTCTCTGCCCGCTGTCATCTCCACTGTCCCTCCACACTGACTCACATCTCTCTTAACTTGGTCATACCATCTCATTTTTGGTCTACCCAGTGGACGCTTTCCAGTTGGTACAGCAGAACATACTTCCTTCAGTCTTGTTCCTTCTTCCCTTCGCAATACATGACCTAGCCAACCTAATCTTTTTGCCTTTATCAAAGCTATTATATCAGGGTCCTGGTATAACGCTCGTAGCTCTGTTTTTTCTAATCCGCCAGTAGTTTAGGTGGCAAAAATAAAAACATAGACCTAGTATTACACAAAATGTAACCCTATGCTGCAAAGAGCCGAGTAACTAATTTTTGATCAAATTAATCGTGCTTGATTATAAATCAGTTGGAAGCTTAGCCTCCTTCCCATTGTCAGAAAATACTAAAAAAATTGTTTCTTAATCAAAACCAGCTCTTGCTCATAGCTGCGTAACTGGAAATAGAATAGTGGAAAGGTAAACTTAAACACATTTTTTAAGTATAACAAAATATTTATTAAATATGCATAACAAACTAGAGGCTTAGAGCATATTCATTTTATACAATTCTGAGTTACCTACTGTAATATGGTATTGAACTTAAAATACAACAATAAAATATTCCAACTCCACGATTTTACTACTTGCGAATATTGAACTCAATTTATGATATGTGAATATTGAGAGACGTAAAAGTGGGTATATGTTTGTATGGTTGGTATGGTTTATGCTAGAATTCATTAGAGATTTTTAAATTTTTAATTATGGCACAAATCCCTGTAACCATTCAAATCTATGCAACAGAGCGAGTGCATCATTTTTTACATAGGCAAAATTATATTAAGCCAGCTGTTGTACCCGTGCTTTGCAACGAAAAGAAACATTTTGATCAACACATCTGTTGTATAAAATAGTTACACATCCGCCAACCCTTTAAAAACAAAACTCAACCTTTATGGCCTTTATAGAAACGTTTATGGCTTTTAAATCTAGCAAGTAGTTGAAACCGTCATTTTGGTTTTGATTACTTTTAAATTTTGTGTAGGTTGATATTAGAAAAACTTACCAAATTTTCAAATAACATTTTCACATACATGATTTATCTTCATCTTCCTTAAAAATGTATGTATATATTATATATAGGTACAGGGTTAGTAAAAAGTCTGGAGACCCCCTGTTAATTTTTTAACGGCCCATACTAGAAAAACTAAACTCGGCACAACTTTATCGCATGTTATGAAGTACTATTTGGGCATAACCGCCACTTGGTGTATATTCCCAAAATGGGGGATTTTGGGGGAAACTCAAAAATTTCAAATAGTAAGACCCATCGAGTGACCCCTCATTTTAAAGGTCCTGGTAAAAGAAAACCTCAACACGGTAAATTCAAAATTAAAATTTAATATACATACATTCGCAAACGCAATAACTTGGGTAATTTTTATCCGATTTTTGTGAAATTTGGCTTGAAGGTTAAGGCACAGAAAACATACTACTATTACCCAGAATGCCAACCGCATGGTAAAAAGCATTAACTACGAATTGACAGGCAAAGCTCTCTCAAAACACTTAATGCTTTTTACCATGCGGTTGGCATTCTGGGTTATAGTAGTATGTTTTCTGTGGTTAAGGCGGGAAAAACTTGAATGATTTTGCGGACCACCATAATCGGACTATGAGAACGGGGTGTTATGGGGATAAAAATTGGTTTTACTCATTTTGACCCTCAAAATATAAAATTTCAAAATTTATCTTGACACCATTTCAAAGAGTTGAAAAAAAAACAGTTTATTACACATTAGTTATTTATTTATTTATATTGGAGTCTTTTGTGCGGTTATTAGTTACGGAGAAAATTGAATAAATTATAAATTTAAAATTCCCATGGAGAATAAGTAAACTGTTGTAGTTTGATGTTTATGGATAAATTTTGGTAAAACTTGGCAAATTTATTTATTTGATATTTTGATATTTGACTAAGCTATTCCAATTTTACCAAAAAAAAACACCCTTTTTACTCTCCCTGTAGCATCAAACCTAGATAATTGTTAAACCTCATGTTATTTAAATAGATTTAAGTGAAAATCTAATACTGGAAAATTGAAATTCGCTTAGTCTGCAGGTTTACTGCGGAGAGGGGGGTATTTCTTAATTTTTACATGAAGTTTCAAAACTACTAATTATAAAATTTAAATGAAAATTTTTTTAGGTCAATCTTCTTCTAACTAGACAGTTCATGGCACTAATGAAAATAAGTGAGAAAATTAAGTAAACAATACTTCAAAGCAAACAATTCAAAATGTTTACACAAAAACAAAATGACAAGTAACAAAGCCAGGGTTTGGTACAATCCTATCCAAACAAAAAAGGTGTAGAAACATAAACAAGAAAACAAATTACAAAAGTGTCATAATATAACTAAACGTAAAAAAGCAACTATTAAAAATACAACTTGATCAGCATACATTACAACTAAAGTACAACTGTACAACAAAGCTTGAAATGACATGTGTATACCGTAGTCAAATAATAAAAAAATGCAAAGTATCTTCATCAAGTTCTTACATTTCCATTTCAGTCTTTCACATAATTTGATAAATTATAATAGGCCTAACTAATTAATTGGTAAATCACGAAATTAAAAAAAAACCCCGAAATAGAAAATTTTAGCAATAAATAAGTGCAGAAGAGGTGTTCTCACATAAAAAAAAAAAAACACACACACAAATGGCACAAAAATCACAAGGTTAACCGAGATTGATTATCAATAAAAATACATTGCGGAAATATTGCAGACTATTAAACTTTTGAATTTTAAGTAACTTATCAAGCAATTATTTGGCATTATGCTGAGGGCTCCTGTATATAATTTTATTTGAAACAAGTGCACCTGTTGATCGAAATTGAGCAATCTTCAAATACCGGTATCACAGAAGTTATTTAAAAACTAATAACAGTCATCCTCAGGGGGACGTTGAACTCAAACAGACAACAGAGTAAAAAAGCAGCCGTTCAAAGATTTCTTGAATCTGTCATTTTGAATCTTTGAACGGCTGCAATTTTTTACTCAGTTGTTATTTTGAGTTCAAATTTGCGACATTGTATCCTACTAATAAAGAAGCCCTTTGATTTGATGTGCATTTCAACCTATACATACGTTTTTGATTTTCTTCTGACTCCTAAAGGGCCGTCACCCAGAAGAGGTAGCGCATCACTGAATAATGTGTTAAAAGTAACAATGTATTAAGTTTTAAAGCTTTATTTTTAATACTTTTTGAAATATTTACCGTCCGGGACTTATTTTCCACCCTGTATGACTCATGGTGAGTTGTCTCCACAACGCCATTCTCAATTCTCATGACAGGTCCAGGACCCTGACTCACTTGAGGAAATAATGGGTTAGAATATTGTAGGATTGTAAGAACTATGTTCCTAAAAATGTTTTAATTTAATCAATTAATTGTGGATGCCATATGACCATAGTTTCGACTATTCCGGTCCTAAAAATTGCCAGTGATGTTAAAAAAACAGAAATATCTGCTAATCAAGGCACCAAGCAAATTTGAATTTTTAACAATCGTGAAACAAATTCTTTATCTAACTTTAACAGGTTTGTGTCTGCTTAACTGTCTACTAATCTAAAGTACTATTACTATAAAACTTAAGTTGTATGGATTGGATACCAAAGTAGACACTTCATTACCAGATTGTGTTCTTGAGTATGAAAATAGGAGGTTTGCTCATACCAGCAAGAGTTTGCACTTGTAGCCACGCCACAGAGAAGTAGTATGGACAGGGGAAAAGAAAAGAAAATACACCCAACGCAGCAAAACTGCAGACTAAGCGAATTTCCATTTGCCTGATTGGATTTACACTAAAATGCCTCCTTAAAAATATCACATTTATTCTATAAATAGAATTAGTTTAACGAGTACCTACTTAGGTTTGCTGCAACAGGGAGGGTAAAAAGTGCTTTTTGTTGTAAAATGTTAATATTTAGTAAGAAATGAATGTATTTTCTAAATTTGATCAAAGTATGTTCATAAACAAGTAA